GTTTCTATAACGAACACACAGACAGATAGACAAAAATTTTATTGATTGCATTTTTGGCATCAGTATCGATCAATAATCACCCCCTGATAGTTATTTTAGAAATATATTTCATGTACAGAATTGACCTCTCTACAGATTTATTATAAGTATAGATGTGAAAGCGAGTTTGTTTGTTACCTTATTAAGTATTATTGACCTAAACAATAACTATGAAATTTGGTATAATACACGTATTATATGGAATGAAGAAGGTACTTTTTAACTCGATCACAAGGACGAAGTCGTGGGTCGTGGTATTGCTGAATAAAAAACAATAAATACTCAGATATTTAGCATACTTTTTTCATATATTATAGGCATGGACTTATCGAAATAGAGTCATCACTGTGTTATGAATGACATCATTTGCTAAACAATAATTCACTATTAGGTACAAAAATTACATTACATCTGTATCATGCTAATTATAAACATATTGGTTACGTCAATTTCTGGTTAACATCTTATTTGTTTATTATTTTATTTTACTTTTAACATTTGTGAACTCGACTGAGCAGTTCCAGCGTCAAAAATAAGTAACAACAAAATTGAATAAAATAATTTAAGACTGACAGAACTGATTAAAAATATTACTTGGATAATTTGACTCACAAATGCTGGTTAGTAAATAAATAAAAGCATTAAAAAAATATACACGAATATTTTTTGCATTGAGAAAGGCAAAGGATCTTTGCCTATACAGCCGACGTCTCCAGATTATTCTAACAATTTTAAATACTGGTCGTATTTGCTTTAATTGTTGACAGATGTTGATATTAATTGTAAACCTAATTTCTGCGGGGGAAAGGGATTGTTAGTAATGCGGACTATCAGTTCCATTGCTAGCAATACACCCTGTCAGGTCGACCTCCACGTGGTTTCCCCTGGAAACCATCGTGCTGAATTCCAGGTGTATTCATCACGATGGGCTAACTGACCTGTCTTTTCATCCCCATTTATTATCCCTCACTGGTGCCTCGCCAGCGTATACCGTTAGCGCAGGCGGGGTTACCATTCCATTATCATCCATTAAAAAAAAAACCTAATTTCTGCAAGCTAAATCTAAGAACAAGGAATTACATAGAAGGAGAGAGAAAATTGTCAATTCATAGCTGACTAGTGTATAGAAAATGTTATACGGCCGTATAACCCTACCAAATTCAGATACAACCTGCTTGCATACTTTCTACATAAACTGTGTCCAATATATAATCTACGAGTAGTAATGTAAAATTTGTTATTGACAAATAATTGACATATCAAACATTTTTTATACACTAGCCTGTTATGAATTGAGAAAAATAGCAGTTGATGGTGTATCTTTCGTCCTCTTTTTACATAAAAAGAAAGAAGGGAGACTTTGTACAAAAGTCGTTTGCTTGGGCACCTCTGTCCAATTCGTATTTCAACCGTGAAGTGCTGTGTTTGCATGGCTGTGTTTCGGTTTGAAGGGTGGTTTGATATGGCGTGAATTTATAAGGTACAGAGGAATAACATCTGAGTCCTCAGGAATGGCAACGTATGGGGGGTATCATGGGCGAAACAGTATACTCTGTTATGTCTATGGTACTGCTCATGTCTATAGGCGACGGTTACCACTTTCCATCAGGTGGGCCGTCAGCATGTTTGCCATTCTAAGTTGTATAAAAAAAAGGCAATGTATGATTTACATTTTTTATTTTATCATTCTTTCTATGTAATTCTAAATCTTCTTCTTAGAGCTAAATATACTTTATGGTTCAAATAATCGCGGCTATGTTTTTGCTTCCATTAAATGATGAATTCTGTATTTAAAATCTGTGTGCCGATCATAGACTTTTTTGTCTATGAACACATAAATTGAAATGTAATTTAAATTCAATTGACGGTACAAGGTGTAAAGCTCTATAAACCGATAATTTCAATAAACGAAATAAATATATTTCTATAGCATTCGTCGATGTATTTACGAATCGTACAGCGGGGGCGTTAAGTTAGTGGGATAAACTTTATTAATTAAGTTACTAAGTGTCCGTTGAATGCAAACAAGTTTGTTTTTACGTCGCGCGTCGCATTGATCAAAATGAATTCTTGAATTTAAGGATCTGGATTACGCGTGTGTGAGCATTTGTTGGAAATCCTTATCTCTATTGTGGTGGTGTCCGGAGTGTACTCTGATTTTTAGTTGAAGTTATAGTGTGTATATATATATATATATATATATATATATATATATATATATATATATATATATATATATATATATATATATATATGACCGTCGCCTATAGATACGAGCAATACCATGGAAATAAGTATGGAGTATACTGTTACGCCCATGATACCCCCCATGCGTTGCCATTCCTGAGGACTCAGGTGTTCTTCCTCTATACCCTGTAAAGTCACTCTAAATTCTGCAAATGCAGATTTATGGAACGATCAGGTTATAAAATCACTACAAAATAAAACTAACAAACAAAGGAATAATGTAATAATATTATCAGATATATATTATGAATATGTATATATTAATATTCATCTTGGATACCACTTACTCATTTCCTAGAAGGACATTTATGGAGTGTATTTTATGAGTTTACATCCTTTGATCAATAATAATAGAAGGTTACATCATTGAGATTTGATTCAAGGGTAGTGAGTGTGCTCTAAACATACATATTTACATACATACATATGTGGGATCAAGGGTTTACAAAATGAATATTAGCTACTCTGTACTACTATATATTTTAAACTATATATATTTTATTTTACCAGAGGGAGACTTTGTACAAAGGTCGTTTGCTTGGGTACCTCTGTCCCATTCGTGTTTCTACCGTGAAGCAGTTATGTTCGCATGGCTGTGTGTTTCGGTTTGAAGGGTGGGATATGGCGTGAATTTATAGGGTACAGAGGCATAACACCTGAGTCCTCAGGAATAGCAACGCATGGAAGGTTTCATGCGAAACAGTATACTCTGTTATGTCCATGGTACTGCTCATGTCTATAGGCGACAGTTACCACTTTCCATCAGGTGGGCCGTCAGCTTGTTTGCCATTCTACTCGTAAATTACATAAAAAATCTTTTTTCGAAAATTATAAAATAAAACACCATTACAACAACATATTTATCTGTAAGCATACCGTAGTTAGAGTGAGTCTATCTTTTTTTAAACCAATCTAAAAATCTTGCTCACTTATGCTTATTCTTTCACTTCTACATTACGTTACAACAAGTATTGATTTTATTTCATACGTAGATTTTGATGTATTTTTTTTACCACAGAGGGCAAACGCCAAAGCAAACGCAAATGCAAAACGCAAGCCAAGCCACGGTGAGCCGCATTCTCACCTGATGGCATATGACTACCGCCACCAATGCATATATATATATATATATATATATATATATACACACAGAGAGAGACACACACACATTACCATAATATATAATAGAATCCAAAATCTCCACTATTGTAGATAAACATGAGTGTGTTTGTTACTGCTTATCCCGTTAATGGCTCAAGGAATTATTTATTAACTTGGCTTACACGTAGTATTTTGGTTGGAGATGGATATAGGCTTTTTATCCCGGTTACTCCCGTATCTATATTAATAGTGTGTTTTTATACAGATACAGAATTATTTTATTCAGTTTATTACATTACCAGTAAAATTAGTATATTTAGTGAAATTTAATTAAAATCTTTTAAAAATCTATTTTTACTATTACAGTATTATTTCACTTTATTTTATATTGCGCAATTAACGCCAAAGAAAAAAAAAACAATTTAATAGCTAAAGTTTATAAAATGTTAGATCTTTTTATGAATAAGCCTTAATAAAAAAAAATTTAATAAAAATAAAATTATTAGGGGTGGCTAATATATAGCAATATCTATATATTTTACTTACAATATATATATATATATATATATATATATATATATATATATATATATATATATATATATATATATATATATATATATATATATATATATTGGTCCAATAACAAATATATGATAAATAAAAATGAAATTAGATAATAAACTTTTAACATATTCGAAACTAGATATGACCTTCTTTCCGCCATCAACGTCCAGATGAACCCAATATATAAATATCGGATCGGTATCCATATTACCCATGCCTAAAAATTATTAAAACCTTTGGATGTGAGATGTAGATTAACAGAAATATAATTTTCTCAAACATACTTGGAAATGTGAGCATTATTTTGACAATATTCTTCGAGATAAATCAAAATTGCCGTACTGGCCAGATACATGCGGGCAGCGGCCGGCAAAAGTTATATGAAAATCCATATCTGTCGTGTTTTGAGGCCAGATAAATTACTATGTAAACTCATATCTGTCCCGTAATTTAAAAATGGAATGACCTTTTACTTCGAAACATGGCTACCAAGGAGGTAACAAATAAAAGGTTTTATTTAAATTTCGAACTGGCTTGCAAATAGCTGTTTATTTAAAAAAAAACCAAAGAACATTATGGCGCGTGAAAAATTATTATCGTTCGTTATTCGTCATTGAACTTAAAAAGTAAAATTGCGTATTTGATTTCCGCGCATTGTTTGAGAAAAATACTATACAAGCCTTGGCCACAACTAGGCATTGATGGACTAACGTATGTGTGCCTCGGCTACGTCTCGGCCCACATTTGTACGTTCGTCCATCAATGCCTCAGTTGCTGGCCACTGCAGAAATGTACTATTAATGTCAGAAACATAAATTAATGGTAAGGATAAAATAAAACTATAGTACATAAATCTACTGACACTTCTAAGAGCATGCGTCAAGACCAAATTGAATGTACACGAAGCAAAGGAAAAATGTCACGGTGGAAGGAAGTAGCTACTCGTATGCAGGCACTGTCCTAAAATGGAGCAATAATGTCAGAGCAAAATATTTCGACCCGACATAGTAATATAGCACAAAAATAAAATTTCTAACGCTACTCACTTATATAACTATAACTGCAGTCATCTCCATGTTGTTGAGACTCACCTGAAAGGATAAGAAGAAGAATTTAACTATTGTTTTTAACTATAACAACTAAAATTAACTTTTAGTACTTAAAAACTACTTAATCTTATGGAGGAAACACAAAAGAGTATTTATCTATTTATTTCCGGTGTATTCCGAGTAATAACTACGAATATGAAAGTTTTTTTTTTTAATGTAATTTAGAATGGCGAACAAGCTGACGGCCCACCTGATGGAAAGTGGTAGCCCTCACCTATAGACGTGAACAATAACATAGACATAACAGAGTATACTTTGTCGGCCATGATTCTCTTCATGCGTTGCCATTCCGGAGTATTAAGCTGTTATACCTTTGTACTCTAAATTCACTGCCATATCCCACCCTTCAAACCGAAACACAGCCATGCAAACACAACTGCTTCACGGTAGAAACACGAATGGGACAGCAGTGCCCGAACAAACGACTTTTGTACTTGTGCTTGAACAGATTGCTCGCAGCAATAAGACCGTCTTACTGTACTCATACAACTGTATCGTTACATTTATTAATTGTCTTGCTTGTTCCCTATATTGTACAATGCAAATAAAGTATACTCATTCATTCATACATTTTTTGCGATACCTACATACTAATAATGCACAGAAATTTGAAAAGATTGTAGATCATGATTTATTTATTTATTTAGGTATAAAGGAACACCAACAGCATGTTGCATTATAAAATACAGGTATAACAAACATTAAATATAATACAATATTAATGCACACGCCTATTATAGGTATTCACAGCTTTTACTATAACATAGTTATACAGTACAAAATAAAGTAACAATTATAATGAATTAAATAACACTAGACTACAAATATTTTAAAAGTTGCGTTATTAACTATAGAAATATACAAGTAACCTGACGATGATAAACTGAGTCGTGACCAAAATTTTAATTATGAAATTAATCATTACAGCAATGATTGTTAGTATAAAGAGAAAGAAATAAAGGGGGAAAAATGATTTATTGAGTGACAATCCTGATTAATATTACAACAGCTCTAAATAATAATAATAAAAAAAACTTAGTAAAATTACAAAAAAAAAAAAAAACCTACTTAGTACGTGTCCTTTATTCCTTACGGATCTTAGACTACCGTCTTCCGTAGCTATAACTCCTGCCATGCAACAAATAATATATAACAATTTTTAAGATATATTTGAAAGACACACAGAACTTTTTTTTAATCAAACCCAATTTGTATGTTGAACTTAATGCTCGAACCACTACATCAACGAGTCATTATATTCTATTTAAATGAGTCCCCGGAACCGGCGCGCACGCATGACACGAGATATGAAAGCAGATGAAGCAAAACATGTATGTAAGGACATATCTTTTGTATTTGTTCTATGTGAGATCTAATGCGCAAATAGATAGAGAAAATATAATAAAAAATAAAAAAAAAATATATAGCTGTAAACAACACTATCAATAAATAGGTTTTTTTTTTTTATAAAAATACTATTTTGAGAATCTTGTAAAGAAAGATATCACGAAAGGAAGTCTCCTCATTTTATTTAATACGATAACATAAATATGTAAAGCATGACCATGTATGAATGAATGGAGGGGCATTCATGGTATCATCACGACATAACCATAACAGAGAGTGTAAGAACTACTTCATTCATAGCTACGAATAATCGTGACTAAACCACATATATTGTTACACAAAAAAGGTTATATTTAAACAGTGGTTAAAGTTAAGACCATTACGAGAAATGTAAGCAACTTAAACATATGGGACGGTTCATTTCGTCCACAAAAATAAATATTCCTCCACAAAAGTCGAATGATTCTTTTAACATGTACATTATAAGGTTCAAATTTGTACAGAAATATTTTTAAATAATTTTTTTTTTCGAATTACACTATTACTCTCACGAAGTCGCCGTGAGAACACGTGTTCTTTCGACGTTAACAATTATGTGTTCTAAAATTTTGAGGTTAAAGTTTTAATTCGCTTGTTTCGTTGTTGCAACAGCTCTTTACGTCAAAATTCCCGCGCGCGGTCGTCACGGCACATTTGATTTCAATCTGGAACTCCTTAAAATGCCGTAATGGCGTCTTCCTTTTGTTTATCTATAGTATATTTATTGTACTATATACACATACATTTTTACACGTATATAATAAAGATTATTTGATGAAAAAATATCAACATGTATTTTTTTCTGTAGTGTAGTGTGGAGTTACGTCTCAAAGAAATATTATGATTTATGCAATTAGATTCTCATTCTTGAATTTTTATCATATATTTAAATGTACATAAAATATATAAAAAAAAACATAAAGATATTAAATGTTATTACACGAAAAATATCGAATGTCAAAATATTTAAAAAATTAAAACGACGCACCGTGACGAGGTGGTTTTTCAAAGGTTTTCTGTCATAAATAATGACGTAATTCTATACTTTATGGGTCGCGAGGAATTTAATTTTGGCCCTTTATATTTTTGACCACGCTACCCCTCCGCCGGAGCGCGGGGGAGGGAGGAGGGACGAGTTCTTTATCGCGGCCATTGTGGGTGCTAGCACGTACGCATATTAGGATGAAGGTCCTCCAAAAAAGTCGTAAAGAGGTCAAGAGAGGTCGGTACACATTTTATGATGTCCTCTTTGAACTTTTTGTGTATGCAATTGGTACTTTAAGTGTATTAAATGGACATTTAACAAGTATAAATGTAATAAACAGATTACTTCGATATGCAGCAGTGTTTTATTTCAATTAACTGAAGTTGGTTGACAATAATTGTTCGGTTCTGTTCTTGATTTAGAACGTACGTTTACGTTGTTTTGAAAAAGAGAAGACATTTGTGTAATATCAATTTTAAGCCGATACTTATAGATAATTCGTTTATTATTTACAAGAAAAAAAAAATCATAGTTATACTTATAAAAAAAAAAAGATCACGTGAACATGACAGCCTGAATGGAGCTACGTCAAGGTGAACGGATGCGAGTCGATACGGGCGTATTGACGCATCGAGTGCTCTGTGTCTGTGTACACAAAACGTATACGACATGGAGCGTTGAGAATATACCCCTCCTGACGTCATAGCAATAATAACAAGTCTATAGTGCGAATACGAAGTCTAAGGGGGTTATTATATTTTTTTAATGGATGATGATGGCAAGGTAACCCCGCCTGCGCTATTGGTACGCGCTGGCGGGGCACCAGTGAGGGATTATTATAGGTGAGGATGAAAAGGCAGGTTAGTTAGCCTATTGTGATGAGTACACCTGGAATTCAGAACGATGGTTTCTGGTGGGGACCATGTGGGGGACGACTTGACAGAGTATATTGCTAGCAGTGGGACTGGTGATCCGCATTTCTAACAATTACCTCCCCCCCCCCTCTAACCCTAAAGTAATTTTTTTCTGTATTTTCTGTTGTAATTGTGTATTTTTCTGACAATAAATACATTCTATTCTCTTCTATTTTTATGAAATCCACACCAACGAAATAGCGAGCAAAAAAGGTAGTTAATCGAATGAGTATTTTTTTTGATGGGTGAAAATGGTATGGTAACCCCGCCTGCGCTAACGGGATACGTTGGCGGAGCACCAGTGAAGGGTGATAGATGAGAATGAAAACAGGCCAGTTAGCCCATCATGATGAATTCATCAGGAATTAACCATGAGTTTCCAGGGGGAACCGCGAGGAGGTCAACCTGGTTGGGTATATTGCTAGCAATGGGATTCTCAGTCTCCATTGCTAACAATCCCTTTCCCCCCAATCGAATGAGTATTGTTCATATTGTTCAATGTATTTCATGATTCAGTTATTACCAGTTTATTTGGAGCCTTACTGAGGTATATTACAGAGTTTCGTGCCTCAATTCGAACTGTTTGTAATTACTCTTCTCCATCCAAAGGTTGCCTGGAAGAGACCGCTACTGGCGATAAGGTCGCCCATTGTTTTCTCACTGTATTTCTTGTAATTGTTTGTATTTATAATATGTTTACTATTGTAATCTTTTGGAGGAAGCAATAAAGAGTATCTATCTATTTTTGGTGTATTTCGATTAATAATTACGAATTTAATTGTTTTTTATGCAAGATAGAATGGCATACAAGCTGACAGCCCGCCTGATGGAAACAGGTAACCGTCGCCTATAGACATGAGCAGTACCATGGACATAACATACTGTTTCGTTCATGATACCCCCCATGCGTTGCCATTTCTGAGGACTCAGGTGTTATTCCTCTGTACCCTATAAATTCACGCCATATCCCACCCTTCAAGCCGAAACTCAGTGAAATTGTTTATTTGTTTGTCATCTTGTAATGCTTCAACGGTTTTTCCTATTGTCGTCGATATATTTGGTATACGTGTAATATTTTTATTATATTACTTATAGTATTTTTATCCCGGTAAATATATCCCGGTCACGAGGATGAAGCGATGGTCACAGCCACTCGGAACATAAAAGCGTTGATTTCAATCGATCCCTCATTTCGACGAATTCCCATTTACACTGCCCGGCCTTCTGTAAAATATTTAATTTTCACATCATTGAACCAAACGGTTATCTTTTCAATCAGCTGTATCAATATGGTAACTGTTTCATATTTTGTTTTATTTTATTTTATTTTATTCACACATAGTTTACAGTAGTCGAGTAGTCAAATAGTAAATACTATGCCATAGTGAAAGGAGATAAGTATTTTATATTTTTTAAATAGAGGATTTAATTTTTAAATTACAATATTAGTTTTAGTTAATTTTAAACGTTCGTTAACTACACAGTTTAGAAATGCAGGCAATATAGAAGCAATTATGTAGGTGCAATTTACCTGTAAAGGTTTATACATCGCATTAAGTTCCTATTGTGTATTTATCATGTTAGTTCTACAACTATGATCTTGAGAATAAATCAATTATTTTACATTTTACATTAATTACGTACCTTACAATCCTGCCCTCTTCACACTTACCATAATCTACTTATTCTACTCACAT